GGTGGTTTGTTTTTAAAAGGTAGCTTTTTTTTTATCAAATCAGAGGGAGGGGCTTGTGTATTAACTGCTGGAAGCCAGTTAAAGCCATCCAGAATAAATAACTTACCTTTCTAAATACGTAAACAAAAGGGTCCTTTCTGTATTAGTTCTGGTTGAAACACATGCCGACCATATAATAAAGTCATAATATCAAACTGTTATGGTTTATAAACAGACTCGAGTAGTAAGTTGAATTCTGAATTACTCAAAGACAGAACTGGAAACTTAGGGCTTTATTTATCTGTTTTATAAAACGTGTGGCTCCATGGAAGTACCTCTTTTCAGAATTTTCAGTAGGCTGCATGTCTTCTAATTTTTTTTTTAATCCTTTTGCCCCCCCATCATAAAATTATTCTTTGCGCATGATATTTATTGCTAAAAATACATGTTATAACCGATATGTTCTGAAATAAATGCAATAAAATCACACTGCAGTTACTTGATTCTCTATCTTTCTCACTTGCCTTATATTTCCCAGTTCCTGTAACTTCCCTTTCATCCATCAAGCTCTTAGAGTGATGGCTTCCCTGACTAAATGCTATAATTTGACCCAGAAGGTCCAGCTGCTCTCAGTAGGCAGTTCCTGGCTGTGCTCTTCAAAATGTAGGTCAGCGCTTTCAAAATCCCTCCTAGCCGTTGAGGGGACAGGTGACTGGCTGCAGCTGCAGCCTCCACATGCAGTAAGCGTATCAGTCCACGGGGCTGGCCGTATGACAGTTCCACCACCAGGAACGAAACGCATCTTCGGTGCCAGTGTGACCAAGACCAGTACTGGATTTAGCAGTAAGAGTTGCTATTTTTACATCAGTAGCATTTCGGATCACAGACCTAAGGGGCAGTTTTGATGCATCACTGAGAAAGATAGATTTTGGTAAATATGCAGTAGCTGATTTTATTTTGGCTTCTAGTCCTGTGCAGCGCTGTTTATGAAAATCCCAAATCACAGAATCCCACAGATTTCCCCCACAGTTCTTCCTTCAGACTTAGCAGGACTGTTCTCTGCATTTCATGGAAGTGGGAACAAAAAGCAATAGGCTTTCTTCTAGCGTTTGTGTCTTTTATTCTACCTGGTCTTCCCTTACCAGAGTTGCTTCAGTAGCACGCAGTGATATTTTTGGAGGCTTTCCTACAAAAGGCAAAGAAAGCTGAGGTCACACAAGTAAAAAAAGCCAGCAAAAAGGGTGACTAACGAACTAGTGGTCGGTTGAAAAGGTTTGTTTGCTTTTGGTTAGGTAGAAACATAAAGTTAGTAACACATGCTTCCTTTGTAAGGAAGGTAATCTCAGACTGGTTTCTGGCAGCCTCTTCAGAAGCTTTTCATTGTTCCCACAGCTCACTAAAAGGACAGCTCCATATGGTTATGTCTGCAGCTTGCTTTGTGGGAAAAAATGTCGTCTTCCCCTATTTTCCCCCTCAAAGCGGTTTTTTTTTTTACTGTGTATCTCTTCAGTTTGCATGTTTCTTGAGAAATCAGTTTTATTCATTTTCCTATTTCTTGAAGTAATTTCCCACCAGTAACCTAGTCTTACTGTCCTACAGCAAATTTTCTAGCGAAGTCCACTGTAGGTCCAAGTGTTGAAGTCTTCAGGCCAGAGGACTGACACTCTCTTCTCATCAAGTGAATGGCATACTGATTTTCTGGAAGTAGTATCAGTTCCTAATATACTGTCTATCCTTAATATAAGGAATATTGTCCACTTCCAGGATGTTAAATGTTTCCTGTTTTCCATGGAGGACAGGGACCTAAAATAGATTTTAAAATATTTTGCTTGTACAAATCTCAAATCCACATCCTCACGTGTACTTACCATAGAACAGTTTGGGTTGGAAGGGACCTTAAAGATCATCTAGTTCCAACCCCCCTGCCATGGGCAGGGACACCTTCCACTAGACCAGGTTGCTCAAAGCCTCGTCCCGCCTGGCCTTGAATACTTCCTACACTGTGGACGTAAAAGATGTCTTGGCTGAGCTCCCTCACCCTGTGCTCCATCTTGCTTTCCTGGGACTTCGTTACATAGTTTAAAATCTTGCGACAGCAGTAGGTAGAAAGCTCTGTGACTGACAACTTGTGGAAAGTTAGCTGCCCATAAGCTAGCTGGTGGTTAACCACAAGAGTTAATAGTGCCCAAAGCAGCAGGAAAGTATTTGGCTGAATAAACTGTGCAAATCTGGGTTTCAGGTGTATTTCTCTTTTCCTTTCAGGATCCTAAATCTTTTATCTTTTCAATATAAACCTTTTGTACTGCAAGCAGTTGTGCTGCCAAATGGATTTGAGGGGCTACGTACAGATGAGTTAAGAGAAAAGGAAAGAAGTAAAAATATTAATTATATCGTTTGTAACATACTGCTTTCTCTTTTTTGCAGTGAAAACTAGGTTTTCGTATGCCTTTCCAAAGGAGTTTCCTTATAGGATGAACCATGTAAGTATGCTGTTTGAAATTCACCTTCAGCAAACAAATCAGCAGGAAGTCTTGTCTTTTAAATTCTGAGAAGGAAATATTTTTATACTCTCATGTCAGGTTGCTCAAAATTAGTTTTGGATAGATTATTGGGAAAGTTACTTTTAAAAGTAATAAACCTTATATAACCTCATTTCCTTAACTGGTTGACAAGAATGCTGATAAAAGAATATGTTCATAAAAGAGATGTAGCTTTTTTGGAACGTTCTTGTTGACAAATACATTGCTCCAGGGAAGGTAAATAGCCCTTGCACCTGGGATGCTTCCAAGCTCGCACACAGGAGCAGTTGGCTTGCTGAAAGCAGTTTTATTTTTGGCTGTAAAATGTAATGGCTTTTGAAAAATAGTTTTTATTTGTTATTTAAAATTTAGATTTACCAGTGCTTTTCGAGAAAGTCACAATGCTGAGAAATTTTGTCATTGTTATTGAAACCAGTTTTGACCTGTGCTGTATTAGTTTGAAAGTTAAGCAGATCTACTTAGTTTTGGATTGACTGTGACAAATACTTTATTGGTTTGCTTTTTACCCAGTCTAGAAAGCCAGCTGATAGGTCAGAATATAAAATATCTAAGACCTTGCAATAAAACTGGACTGCTGTTTTACAGATAAAGGCAAATGGAAATGTATTCGGGAGTACTGCTTTCCTTGAGCAGAAGCAGTCCAGTCTTTTCCTTGATATCCCTAATACGTCCCTGTCTCCATGGAAAATGCGAGCTGATTTAATTGCTACAATTGGACAGAATATTATATATGAAATTAAATCTGAAAGTGCTTTAAAAGGCCATTTGGCATGTTAGTGGTTTGATGAAGAGGCTCTGATTCTACAAAAGGACTTCTCTGTTGCTGTTAAGTGTTTATAGGCTGGGAACAGTTTGCTGCTGCCAGGTGTTGAAACAAACCATACAAATACAGCTAATTGAGCAGTCTTCCATAGGAAACGTGATCAAAAACGTTTAATTCTATGAAATACGTTGTTGTTATGACTGGAGGTGTTACAATGGTGGTAAGGCAATGGCTGATAATAGTTTGATTTTTGTTTGGTTTTGTGGTTTCAGATGAAATGCATTTAGGACTGTTGGAAATATGCATTGAGAATTCCTGTGCATTCATAGAGTCATAGAATCACAGAATGGTCTGGGTTGGAAGCGACCTTAAAGACCATCCAGTTCCAACCCCCCTGCCATGGGCAGGGACACCTTCCACTAGACCAGGTTGCTCAAAGCCACATCCAGCCTGGCCTTGAACACTTCCAGGGATGGGGCATCCACAGCTTCTCTCGGCAACCTGTTCCAGTGCCTCACCACCCTCTCCAGGAAGAACTTCTTCCTGACCTCTAATCTGAACCTCCCCACTTTCAATTTAAAGCCATTCATGATGTTTAACAGGATGCCAGTTACTCGTTCTGCTGTCTGAAACAGGCTGCTCTTTAACTGTGATTTTTATTTCTTTGCAGATATTAGAATGTGAATTCTATCTCTTAGAATTAATGGTAAGTGGGTTTTTTTGGTGGTTTGCTTTTTTTTAACCTGTTGCCTCAGTTTGCTTGTTACTGATGAAGACTATTTTGAATTTTGTGCTATGAAACAGGCATTACGCTGTCTTTTTTTCCCCCGCTCCAATGTTAGAATGGTGTCCCTGCAGGTCTGACGTTTACGTTTTTCAGCAGAATGCAGCAATTACTGTGCTGTCATCTAGGCTGAGTGAGGGCATTCCCACCTCCTTGTGTGGAAGCTGGATTTCTCAACAGGAGGAGGGCTGATTGAGGGAGCGGTGAGGACAGGAGGAGCGTGTGCGGTTCTGCATCCCAGTGGTTAGAGCACTGGTGGGGAAGGGTAGAGCCGAAGTTCTGTTTCTGGGAGCGCAACCTGGCGTTTTCTTCCAGGTACTTTCAAAGAGAGGAGCTGTACCTGCTTTTTGTAAGGGCTGCTGTCCCATTGCTGTGTTCTGCAGGGTGGCTGAAAGGGTGCATCCCAGGCTTCTTGGGTAGCTTAGGTGAAATAGTGCCTAATTTCTGCATGTTGGCTGGACCTGGATGGGTGAGGCACCACGCTCACTGTGCTCGAGTAGTTCTGCTCAAGTGCAGAGAAGAGGAGAGAGGAGCCTGGTGAGTTAGGCAGCAACTGGGAAAGGATATGTTTTGGGAACAGGACACAGAGGAGGGTCAGATCACAGTTTTTGTTTGTGCCTACGGTTGTTATAACCCCTTTTTAGATTTAGTCCTTGACACCTCTGCTGTTCATAGCAGTAACTCCTTGAATTTCATGTACAGGAATCCTAGGATCACAGAACAGTTTGGGTTGGAAGGGACCTTAAAGCCCATCTAGTTCCAACCTCCCTGCCATGGGCAGGGACACCTTCCACTAGACCAGGTTGCTCAAAGCCTCATCCAGCCTGGCCTTGAACACTTCCAGGGATGGGGCATCCACAGCTTCTCTGGGCAACCTGTTCCAGTGCCTCACCACCCTCTCTGGGAAGAACTTCTCCATGGGAGTTTTAGCCCATGTAACTGCATTTACAAGAAGTTACATTTTGGGGATTAACTTACTTTTCCAGAGTGCTATACAGTATGTAAGGATGTGTAATAACTGGGTGTACTTCAGTGTTCAGCACATGTAACTTAATGCGGCTTTTCCCTATAGTATCCATGCAGTTGACTGCTTTCAGGGAGAGGGTTATTCCTTCCTCTTTACACCAACCTGGGCCCGAAAAGAGGGGTTTTAAGAGCAGTAGATTTTAAAAAATTTTCTTTTTTCCTTTCTTTCCAAACCAGTGTCAATTATTTTGGCACGCTTTCCATGTATGGTATTTAGTGACAGACTGTTTTCTGGCAGTGTTCTGTATTTCCAAGTGGGAATTACGGGTTTGTAAGCAAATGAGGTTTCAGTGTGCTGCAGATGTGGCTTGCTCTGTCTCTTAGGGGAAGGACATGGACAGACTGGCAACCATGCTGTGTAATGGTATTCTAGAGAGAGCACTGCCCTCGTTAGAGCAGGGTTAGGTGTTAGAATGCTACTGGAAAAAAAAAAATCAGTAATTGACTCGTAAACCAAATGTTTTTAATACGAACTGACAACACATTCTGCATTGTAACTTAACTTTTATCCTGTTGACGTTATTCCTAGGACTGCTGTTTGATAGTGTATCATCCTTATAGACCTTTGCTCCAATATGTGCAAGATATGGGCCAAGAAGACATGCTGCTACCTCTCGCATGGTAATGAAGACAGTGATTAATTAATGCCTCCTTTTAGCCAGGAAGCGAGTGTTTAACGGTTAGGCTTCCAAGGCGGTTAAGCAAAATCAGGCTTGGGCATATCTGAATAGAAAGGGTGCCCTAGTTAACCTGTGCAGGTGTACGTCCCTGACTTTGCTTATTCTGCAGTGATTTTACTTCACAGTGGTCTAGTTTTTGTTTCTAGGTTGGCTTTAATAGCACAGGTTTTGACAGCACTGAATGGTGACTATGAGCAGAGGTAATCTTTTTCTATCACTGGCTTTCTGTTTATCTTGTCCTAGGAGGTAGAAGCAGTATATCAGGTTTTTTGGCTTGTTAGCAGAACTCTTGAACTGTGCTTCAAATACAGAAAGACAGTAAAAATACTGCTTTTATGCTGGCCCTTACTTATTTGTGAAACAGGATTTTACGGTACGTGTCAACGCCCTCTGTAGAAAGACGTTTATGGTACTATAATAGTGCTTTCAAATAAACTTCTGCTGTGACTGCAAGGGGAAAAACAAAAGGCTTTAAGAGATTTTTTACAAGGGAAGAGATGTCTTCCCTTGCTCTTTTGCCCTGCAGCCTCACTGCTTCTACCTTCTGGGAAACTGACAGTAATTTTTAAAGTCATGCAGTCTAAAGGTGAATAGGATGATACTTACCAGTTGTTTTTTTGCACAGGAGGATAGTGAATGACACCTATAGAACTGATCTTTGTCTGCTGTACCCTCCTTTCATGATAGCTCTAGGTAAGTAACACAAGTAGAGTCTCCTGTCGTTTAAATGACGTGTTCTGTGCGCTGTCCCATCGCAAGCATCCCTGAGCATGTCCTCATAAGGTGCTTCAGTTTGCATTTCGTGCAGTGCTGACAGTGTAGGCCTGCAACTTGGAAATCTTGAAGAAAAACCAGATATAGTCCAGAGAAAACTTGGGATTATAGTGTTTATAAACAAGAGAATGTTTCTGACTGTATCAAGAGTGGATCTTTGTTCAGTCTCCATGATCTTTGCAGCTTGCCTACACGTGGCCTGTGTTGTCCAGCAGAAGGATGCAAGGCAATGGTTTGCTGAGCTGTCCGTTGATATGGAAAAGGTACTCTGTGTTTCATTCCTGTCACCTCTTATGAACTGGCCAGAAATGGTGGTCGTGGTTATAAGGCTGCTGTCCCGGTACCGATCTGAACTTCATTCCATGATCCTGTGTTAGGTGCTGCTGGAATTAGGTTAATCTCTCCGGGAGGGAGATGTCAGGTCATTGGGTTATCACCCTGCTCCGAAAGCCCAGACAGACCATTATGTAAAGGCAAAGCATCGCTGGTGGTGCTGTTTTTCAGGTGGAAATATAAAACCAATATCCTTTGCGTTTTTTGACAGAAAAAGAATTCCCAGTGGTTTCTGTCATTCAAGATGGCCAGCATGAGTTTGACTTTTAAACGCTAGTGCGTGTGACTTTCTGATTTGCCTTTCAGCATCACGCCTACATGCTGCTCTCACCCTCTGTCTGTAAATGTAGTGTAGCAGAGCCTCAGACATTCTTGACGCTTTCAGGATGGCCAGGACTGTGACTTCAGTCAGTATTGAAAATTGGGGTGCCAAGGTTGAGTTCCCTGCTCCTGCAAATTCTGTGTCAAATAATCTCTTTCATAAATTTACCAGGTTCCAAGGTGTAGTTGTGGAAATAGCAATATTGTTCTTCATCTTCATCAGTTCCCTTTACTTTTTAGGTAGACTTCTTTAACCTTTGTTTAGCTCCAGCAAACAAGCCAGACTAGCACTCGTGGTCCTTTCCACACCATTTCACTCTGCACATAGTTTTTCTGTCTATCTTTTTTTTGAAACTGAATGTCTGGAATTAAATGGCATATTATGGATGAGACATAGCACAGCCCTCTATGCCCTCGGTAGTGTCCTTTATCCCACTGATGGTATCTTGGCATTGTATTCGCATTCCAGGATTTGTCTTCAGATGTAAGCGCAGTGTGGGCGCTACGCTGCAGCGAGCTCTGTGAACTGTGCTGTCATGCATGTAAAAGCAGGGTAGTAATAAGTTGGCAGCAGAGGAGAACCAACCTTAATTTGACAGATAAGGTTACTATAAGCTTGATACTGAACGCATATGAATATTTACATGTCTGGGTTCTCATGCCAGTCATACAATCTAAGCTTGGGGTTTTTTTTACATTAACACCATGGACCTCTTAGCCAACTGTGAATTTATTTCAAGGATATATATTGTTCTAGCACCTAATCAAAGTCGATGTATTGGAGAAAGAAGTCTTACTAATTTACAGAATGATGAAACAAATTACGAACCAAACGGTATCCACCTTTTATATAGAATATTGCACGACGAATTTAATAGGAAATTAAGGTTGTTGAGGTGTAGTAGATAGAAAATGTCCAAACTGGTAGAGAATACTTCTGCTTCCAGAAGTGGAATATGGAAGTTCAGCATTATCAGTATATAATAATAATGAGAATGTAAGAAGCAGTATGTAGACATTCCTTGGCTCTTTATTTCTTGGAAGGAAAGAATTCAGACCAATGTTCTGTGGTTTTGGGCTTCTTTTTTTTCCCTGCAGTGCATCCCTGCTGTGTACAGAACACTGATAATCATCAGTTACTGCATTGGTAATCCAGGGCCATCTAAGTGCTGTCATGCTGCCAGGTGTCTGTATTTCCCCAGCAGCACAGTTACAAGCTGTGGCAGTAGCTGCAGATGAATAAACTAAAATCTATTTAGCTTGCAGGGGAGAACTGGTGTATACAGTTCAATGGGAGGAAAAGTATTCTGTTCAGGTTTCCATTCACAATTAAATAAAACCCCTAATTATAGAAATGGTAGATTGCCAGATGAGATTAAATGTGAGACCGCTCTGTGTATAATATGAAAATCGTGCTGCTTAATTTTAGTTCTGGACACGTTTAATTAATTACACACTTAAACTGGTTGATGAGAGAGATAAAATCACTATTGTGTCTGACCTCAGCATCTCTTCTCTTTCTCATCAGATTTTAGAAATAATCAGGGTTATTCTGAAGCTGTACGAGCAGTGGAAGAACTTTGACGAGAGGAAAGAGATGGCTACTATTCTTAGTAAAATGCCTAAACCAAAACCACCTCCCAACAGGTACTGTACTTCCTTAATACACCTTTCATCTGGAGAAACTGGACTCTGCTGACAAGTAAACTGTTTGAGGTATAGGGTATGTTTTTGCAGTGCAGACCTTTCTGTTACGAACAGCCAGGCTGATTGTCCAGGAGCTGGTGAGAAGCAGAACGTTCATTGTTCTACGGAGAGCGTTAAGGTGATTAGCAGGTGATCGATACAGCTTAGCAAATGTAAGGAACCCTGGGGCGAGGCTCTGTGGCTGGGCCAGATTCCTTGGAACTGGGCCTGCCTGATGTCGCCTTAAATTCCTGTGATTCAATGTCACTGGGAATCTGCACACGCGGAGTCCTGTGGGCATGCTTAGGTAAGGTGAACTCGGAGGTGTTGACTGCAGAGGTGGATTCAGCAGGCGGCTGCAGGGGGATGTACTGAAGCGATCGACCAGAGAAATACGCCCAAGTTAGTTATGCCTGCAGAGTACGGCCTCTGCGCTGCTTAGGAAACTGAGCAGAATGTCTTGTATTTGTCTTTATGTTAAAGTACGTTCCTTCAAAAGGTTTTTAATACTTTCAGAGCACCATATTTTTAATTAATTTTAAAAAAAGGTAATATGATGCTTCTTTTTGAAGACATACATGTGTGTTTCTTCTTTCCTTCCAAACAGTGAAGGAGAGCAGGGTCCAAACGGCAGCCAGAACTCTAGTTACAGCCAATCTTAAGACATTCCAAAGAACTTCTTTATGGACCACTTGGACTCAAGACACCCTTGGATCTTTCCTGTGTTCATGAAATGGACAGAAGGTTGTAGTAACATCTCCGACGAAGAACTTGAAGAATAAATAGCTTGCTTGTGTCAAGCATTTTAAAAGCTTTTTCTCTAAAACTGCATAATTTTCTCTGACGCTGGAGCAAGATTTTTTTTTCAGTTTAAGGAATCAAACGTTAAACGAAGCTGCAAAAGATTTAACACTATCTGCTCAAAACAAGTAGTTCGTTATTGGGTTTGTTTGCTTTGAGAAAATTGTAACTTGCCATTGAAGTGAACCATTTTTCAAGCGACAGTAACCTGAAGCCTGAGTGTAACTGTATTAATGACTTGTGTTGTCTTCATCTTATTTGTGACTGAAGGAAGATAGTGCACTGTGCGTTGTCTGCTCATTACCTTGAGTTTTGTTGGGGTTTTTTTTTCTTCTTTTAAAAATAAACATGGATTCTGTACCAAGTAACACAGCAATCCTTCAGAAACAAAAGCCTAGAAGAACCTGCAAAGGATATCGTTACAGTTTTATTGAAAGCTGCAGGAAAGAAATTAAGTTCCTTTTTTGGATTAGAAAAACGCTGTTTTACTCAGTAGACGTACTTGGGACGTTTTTGCCATGAAGTGTAGTAGCCCAGCTTACCAGAGAAGTGCAATATGTATAGTGATTCTGCAGTTTTCTTAAACATTTCAAGTATCAGGAATTAAAAAAAAAAACAAACACCAACCTCCTATGATTTCTTTTTTGCAAGTAAACGTACTGTATAGTACAATCAGAATATTTCACAATCAAGTAAAAATCTGGATATGATTGCTATTTTTTATGGTGGATTTTTTTTTGTACTAAAGATATACACTGTTGGTCTGCCTTCACTGTTGGTGTGAATTCGTGTGGTTCATTAGAGAGTTTATTTAAGAGGATCAAGCTTTTGGTGAGTTTCGTACTGGCTAATTTTAATTGTGATGTTGGGAGCAACTCTATAGAATAACTGAAATGGGATTCCGTGGTTAATTATGTGCTGGAGAAAATGAGGTTCCTTCGAAAAGAAGGCCACATCCTGTGTTCCTCACTCAGGCAGGTATCCCACTGAAGTCAGGAATTGGCCTAAATCGCATTTATTGATTTTTAGATAACTTTGTACCTAATGAAGTTCTGTACAACTTCATTTTGAATGATAATGCCGACTTCCCCAAGTACAATTTGAATGATAAATAAAGTGAAGTAATATTGTCGTCCTTTTTTTTTTTTTTCTGAATCAACACATTTTGCTGCTCCGAAATACTGGAGGGAAATTTACTCAGTAAAATTCCCTTGGGGAAACCCTTGCTCTATGATGCGTCTTGGTTCAAAAACTCACCACTTAAAAGAACCTTGTTTTTGCAAATACCTGTCTTTGTAATTGGCTGGTCATTCCCTGAAACACAATGGAAGTGTGTTCGTGTGTGTAGCCCACTAGGCTACTAGCATTTATTTCTGTTTGGATTATTTTCGTAAAGCGTTAGGTAAACAAGCCCAAACCACTTTGGTGAGATAGGAGACATTTTAGTCTTTGCTACTTTTGTTGCCATTTGATCCATCCCTTTTACAGACAGCTGATTGATGGAGTGGAATTTGGCTGTTTGCCTTTGTTTCTTGAAGTCTAAAACGTGCTATTTGTAACGTGGACTTGGGGAGTAGAAATAAATCAATGCAACTTGACCACTGTGTGGAGTTCTTAAACGGGAACTGTTCTTTAGGTAAACACATTAGTCTTCTCACGCATCATCTGCTAAGAAAGCTAATGTTTTGGAATCAGGGATTTCACACTAATAATGAAGAATTCTGGCTGGAGTGGTTGTTTTCTTGCTGCTCAAGGGCCTTTGCAGACTTTGCTTCATACCTACATTACCTATGTGACCTACACTTCTTGATGGTAAATAGAAGTATCTTAAGTAATTTCTTTTGTGGGGGGATGAGGGAAATTTAACCAGCTTTGAAGCCAGTGTAAATAGTGAAAGGCAATGAAGTGCAGTGAAAGGAACTGGACGCAGTGGTGACAGTTACAAGAAGATGTATATTGGAACAGCAGGTTATGGAACATACCGTGAATCCAACAGCTGTGCTACCAAACAGACAGGGAAAAAAGTCACCTTTACTGTGCTTCATTCCAAAGGAGAGAAAGGCACAAGAATGAGATGTATCATCAAAAAAGAGGTAGCTGAAAGTCTTAAGAGTATATGGTTGCAGGTGACAGTCAAAGCAAGCACAGACTATCTATGCCAGAAAGATTTAAGGAAAAATCTAAAAGGAGGCAAACTAAACGGATCAGACAAGTTGTTTAACTCAAAAAGCAGCATTTGAAAAGCAAGTTCTGTCCTCACAAGGAAGATGGAGGAAGATACAGAGAGGTTTGTCAACTTAGACAAGCTACACGTAGTCTGAGAAACACCTTGCAAGAAACTACCAAGACATACAATGAACATAAGAGGTATACAGTGGCTTTCCTATTTAAAACAAACAAACAAACAAACCCCCGATAAATCTTCAGCTCAAAAGACAGCAGAGGTCTAGAAAAATGAGTGGTGCGAAGACCGATGAGGTGACAGCTGTTCATCACTTTGGACAGAAGAAGCGGGAGCATCCGACGAAAACAGTACATGGCAAGTTGAAAAGCACAGAGGGCAAGGGGACTTCTCAATGCATTGTTAACTCAGCACAGCCTGCTGGGAGTTTGTGTGTAAAAGTACAGATACCCAAGCACAGCAAGGCCTGCAAAGCCTGAAGGTACTATCAGAGCATTCCAAGTTTCAAATAGGAGTAATCTGGGGATTGTACCACTACACGATGATCTGGTTTTATGCTGTTCCTCAGATGATTACTACGGGTTACTGCCAGACAGACAGTAATGGGCTAGACAGATCTTGGTGTGACCCAATACAACTGTTACTCATTTTTTGTGATTACGTAGTTGTAGATGTTCCCAACAAACTTTAATGTAGCTGCAAAAGGAACCATTGGCCACTTGTGACTAGATCACGACTAAGTTCAGTTGATCAGATCTCCTTGCTTTGTTTGTCTGTATACTTAAGTTTGGTGGCTTGGTCAGTACAGCTGAGATTGCTTAGTTACACTTTTAGCCAAATATTTGCAGTATGTCTCAAATTTTGTGTACAATCTGACCCCAGTGATCAGGACCAGAAGGCGTCGTTCATCCTGGTGAGGCCTGGCACAGCACAGCCAGCAGTGGGCTCCAGGTGCCCACAGCACTGTGAAACTGAGAGTCTAAGAGTCTAGGTCACGTTAAACAGGCAAGATTAATAGATCAGAGGATTTGGCTAAATACAACAAAACTGTTGGCATCTGTTACTCCTCCCGATCCAGTCTGGAAAAGACCTTTCAAGAGTAAGATAGTGACAACTGCCGAGTAATTGACCACATCAAGGTAACACCCGTACTCATTCTGGTGTTTTAATGGCCTCTTACAACCGTTAATTGATCAGTTAAACTAAACCAGTATTTTGGAAATGAGTCTAAATTACAGTTCCTAAGTTGTCTGGGTTTTTTTTAATGGGTCAGAAATAAAGTGGAGCAATAAAACTGCTAAAATTCAATGACACTGAAGAAAAATGCACTCATTGGTCACTATGACAGCACACTACAGGTCTCATTATTAGCCAAGAGAAGGGAAGAGAAGCCCCTGTGAGACACACGGTCAGGGCAGCGCAGCTAACGCAGCAGGCTGCGCCAACTACAGAAGCTCTCTAGAACCAAACAACTGCAGAGGGACTGCAGGACTTTTACTAGAAATAAAATTCTGATAAGTTCAGTTAGTTTTTCTCTCTGTTCTCCGAACTGGAGAGGGTGTGTTTTCAGGTCCCCTTCTCACACCATGCTCTCAGAACAGCACTGGTAAGTGCACAGCGCCTGCGATATTGGTTAGAGCAGAGCCAGAAATTTGGATTCCTTCTTCCAGATACCCTGCAGAGTCCTGAACTTCTGTGCCAGGACTTGAATTTTCCAGAGGGCAAAGCAATTCACCTTTGCCAGTTCCCCTGAGCTGCCAACAGCATTAAACAAACCAACCAACCCCCTTTCAATTATGATTTTGCAGATTCATAGGTGGGGATGGGATGGGTTGGTTTGGTTTTTTTTAAAGCTTAAGCCATGCAAATTGAAGTACATAAAAGAGGGGAGTTTACTGACTTCCTTGGTCACCTCAAATTTTCCAGGCTAAAACGATTACATCTCTGTAGTAATAACTTGAGATACAGGCAAGTTCTGACTTGATACCGAGCTGCTGAGGGAACAGAACTTGTTAACTGAATGCTGTAGGATTTGTTGTGCTCACAAGCAGATCTGTATATAAAAATGGATATAGTTTTAAAATAAGGTATCACACAACATTTTGAACAGGGAATATTCTAGCATCAGGTCAGTTTCCTGTTATATTTTCTGAGCAGTAGTGAAGTTTTGGCCTTAGGATCACATAGTACAAACCTAAAAATTTGTACTTGTATTCTTTCACAGCAGCTATTTTAAAACTCCAGCTGCACATGAGGTGTAGTAAATCTGTGCTGAGGGCAGTTACCCCAATTCCATTAGAGTATCTGCAGTTTAACTGTTCTAAACAAACTACCCCACGCAGTTATTTGGGGAAGGATAATTTTATTTGTCCAATCATCATTAGTTTAAGCAGCCGTAAACTACATCATACAAAAATGTATGTATGACGTACATTCATTTTAAGTTTGAGCTTTAAGGTCCCTTCCAACCCAAACCATTCTGATTCTAAAAATCTTAGTAAACATACTAAGTGCCTAGGTTGTCTTCACATGCCTTCACCAAAAAACACAGCCCAGAGTACAGGCTGAACAAATGTGATGTCCTCTGTTCTGCCACCATCTTTAGATACAACTGAAAGCAAGCAGTGCCGTGCGTGGCTACTGGAAGGTGAATGTCCAGTCACACAAGAAAAACGGGAGTGGGCTGTACTCTGTAAATGGAATGCACGTAGTTTGAATGATAAAGCCTACAAACCATCCTGAAGCCTTGATGGGGAAAAGGCTGGGGTAGTCATCTTCATTTTTTCTCTGCAGGTTCATGTTTTACCCAGTCCTCAAAGCCACCAGCATACTGCTGAACTCTGAAAATACACAACAGATACAATGTTAAGAAGGGCTCTTCTTGGAAAAGGTGTCTGAGAAGACATGGCAAAAAAACCCCAAACAAACAAAGAAAAAAACCCATACAGAAATTCTCTGCAATCAAATGCACTTGTACTTAGCTTCAATGAGCCAGATTGACATCCCTTGTACTCTAATACTGCCCGCTTCCATGCAGAGTGTTCTCTAACTCCTTTCTTCCAAAAGCTGGAGAAGAAACACCAAGCAAGCAGTAGTGGATGGATCAAAAAATCGTATGCTGCCTTTTTTTTTTTTAAAAAAAACCAACAGACTCAACTGCAGTGGGAGATTTGTTATTACATCTAATGCTTCAGATGTCATCAAATAAACGGAGCACGCTGATCTTTACTTCCTTGCAAACCTACATGCTCTATAGATCTGACATAAGCCTGCGCAGAACTAGCCCCTGGAAAACAAAAACCCACCACGCAAAACAATACGGACTCCTTCAATTAGGCAGCATGAAAAAAAGGTGATGGAGGATGTTTTGCACTTACTGGAAGAACATATTTATAAAACAAGAACGTGGTTCCATACTTCGGAATAGAATTAGCAGGGATACTCCTGTTCATGAACGGCAGTTCAGCGAAAACATAAGCCAACAACCAACGTTTAATATGCTATCTGCAGTCTTCAAGCCAGCGAGGCACCTTCTGGCACACGTGTGACAAGTCTGCCAACCAAACACTGCTTTTGCTTTCACTCCATCGACGTCACTGCCCTTCTAGCTATTGCCTGCACTGCTCTACTCCTGGCAAACAATCCAACGCTTTACTGAAAGCAAAGGCATACTTTGTCCAGAGTGAACCGTACAGGTAGAACTGCAATTTAACCAAGGGTGTGGTTTCATAAGCTGTTTCATCTAAGATTGTACTTCTACCAAGAGAGCAGTTCTCCACCTTTCCAAGCATCCTACGTCTCAGGACTAGTGCTCAGGAAGCTGTATAAGGAAGCAATGTCTTGCTGAAAGACCTCTAAGAGGCAGAAAGACTCATCAGTGGCAGCACAGTCCAGCAGCAGATTGTGTCACCTGCAGCACACGAGCAGAACTGGAGAAGGGCT